TTCATGTACATCAAGTGTGGTGGGCCTCAAGGAACAGTACTAGGTCCACTATTATTTAGTATCTACTTAAATGACTTATTCAAAATTAACAGTACTGAAAAGATTGTATGTTTTGCAGACGACACCCTCATTATATATAGTAAAGCTGATGACTGGAGCACACTAAAGCAAATAGCTGAAAAGGATTTTATAAGGATCATTGACTGGTTCGATACTAAAATTTTAACAGTTAACTTTAAAAAAAAACAAAATTTATTGCATTTACATCCTCATTCAAAATTTAGACGAAAATTGAAAGACTTGGTTTGTACTGTGCAGCGAATGACTATACATAATCATATAGAAAACTAAAACTACAAAATTCCAATTATATTAATACTTTTTAGAATTACCAATAATAATTGTTATACACATATGAATGATTGTTAGTTATCAAGATATAATCCACACACAGGCGATTCCTTCTGTTTTTTTTTTCATATTTGTTTCCCCATTTGTTGTGTTTTGGCGAATAAATATTATCATTATTATTATTATTGCGGACAATCTTAATGTTAATTATTGCTTTTGCTGATTCTAGTAGTTAATCCATACTCCCTCTCTTTTTCCAACATCGTGATAGTTGCATCTACATTAACACTCAGGGCCGGAATTATTCGAGGTCAACCGAGGCAGTTGGCGTGAGGCTACACCGCCGCGCCGTCTCTACAGAACCCCTTTTCCTGATAATGTTATATTTGCCTTGACATGTCCTGCAGAGCAAAGGACAAAAGGGGGGCATCGCTTAAGGGTCATATCGGCAGTCGTTCCTACAATTGTATGACGCCATTATGGCCTCCTTTATTTTCATAGTTTTCTACTGTTCCGAATCAGCGATATTTTGAGGTTATGTTACAAATATCTATTTGCATCAAATTGTTCATGCTTATCATTTATATCAAATCAGCCTGAAATTCCCTATAATTCAAAAAGAAAACATAGCCTCACAATAGGAGAGCGCTGTCGCGGATACGGAGAAAAACACTACTCTTTATGAAGGAGAAAATCAAGGAGGCCATAAAGGTGCCAAAATTCACTTCTTTTCTCAGGAAATGCACAGGTCTACTCATTTTGGTTATTATATCCATAGAAGATCACATTCCGCATCAAACATCACATGATAATTGAAGACCCAAGTGGATAAAGGTGCATGTAACATTTTTTTAAATTGCTTTTTTTTATTAATCTAACCTTAAGGAGTGATTCTTTCATTGTGATTAATTTGTTGCAAAATCAAGATTATAACAAACTAACAAATTAAACTAAATATTTATAATATCAATTAAGTAAAAAGTCTTAATAAAAAATGTTTAGTCAATTTTCTCCATACAATGATTTTGTTACATGACACCTTTATCCACTTCTCTCTTCAATTGAAAGGATGCTTCCTCTTCTTTCTTAAGAATCTCAAATCAAAACTGTAATAGCAACAGAGGTGGAGAAGTGGATATGCGACTATTGTTTGTATAAACAGGTTTGTCTATGGGTGCTCTTATTATCCGGAGATGTCAAAGACTAAGGACAGGAATCACCTGGCATGGTGCAACCGGCGAAGAAGGCCGTACCATATACACAACATATCATACTGTAAGGCAGATCACGGGGAACAAAAGTATTGTTTCGGATAGCCCAGTGTTTTATATAACTGACTTTAGTAGACGCTAGCCTAAACCCGCGGCTCCAGTCTCAACGTGAATGCTTAGAGTAATGTAACAATTGTACGTATCGTCATTAATTTTAAGGCATTATGGTAAAGAATGTTATTTGTTGTATTATTTAGAGTATAAAGGTATAGTATAGTATTTTCAGGAGGTACCTTCATGGCGCGAGCTTTATTACTCCCGGCATTTCAAAAACTACCAAGCAATAATAAATGACACAAATTATAACCACTATGACTAATCTAACTACAATTTAATTACAATAGCACGCAAAGCACACATGAAGTATACCAAATAGCAAACCAATAAATCAATACCAATTTCGTATTTATCGATCGAGAATTTAATGATAACGGAGCAAATTAACAACAAACTAAGAACAGTATATCAAGCCTATAAGCACACAAAAAACATCCTTACTGCAATATAATTACAATAGAACACAGCTATCCTAGCCCAATAATCATTCATTCACAATTCCCAATATTACACTTGAAATGAAACAAAACACCAAACAAATCTTAATCAAGACGATCACGCTAAGAAAACGAATGTCGAAATGCAGGAACAGGAACACGCGATTCCTAAGCGATCTCACCACCATCTCGTTTCAGGTGCCCTTACGCTTTCCGGCCCAAGTGGCGACACGTGAACTTTACGCTTCTACGACCGGTGTTCGTGTAGAACCCATCTGGGTTTTACGAGGTGGGGTGCCATCGTTGGGATTTTTGGGCTTAGTTTGTCTTCTTTCTCGAGTTACGTCCTGACCACCTCGACAAATGTCCACGTCGTCAATCGGCCTGCTTCTTACTGCCATCTAAATACCTCCATCTCAAATGAAGTCGGTGCATTCAGCATGACAAATCTTCGCCACCGCCGACCACCGGTGCTGCAAAGGGCTTTGCCTCTCTTGAATGCAGCCTCTTCCTCGCGAGTTTTACCCCTCTTCTTTAGAACTCATCAGCTGCTAGGTCGATGCAAAATGCAAATGCGCTATTAATATACCTGTACACTTACTCGTTTCGGTCGTGCCAGCGACTGAACGCTTCTGCACCAGACACTTCATGTCAAAGTCCATTAAGCCATTTGGGAAATAGCCAGTGATGGGCGCTTTGTATACACCATGTATAATACACCATTGTATACGCGTATACAATGGTGAATATATGTCTCGATATTCACGTATACAATGTATATAATGTACACAATAGCAAATCATAATTCAACTACTTGCATATAGTGCTGGCGAAAGTGTCTTTCCCTTTTAGATTTCCATGTGTACGAGGAAGAGATAGAGGGGGACAAGCGGGCACCACTTGTGTAGAAAGAGTGAGCCACACACCACGTTGCCTGACACAACAGTGATGAAGGCCATAGAACACAACTGTAACTTGCAGCAACGCCTTGTTTCATACGGCCAAATACACATTTCTGTCGAATCTGTTTGAGATCAATTCCAGATCGATCCTAATGGTGCTCCGATTTTAGGTGGAACTGAAAGTTCAGTATAGATAAAAATTCTGCAACATTGCATTATTGGTTTGACTGTGGAAGCAGTTGATAAATAATGAAAAAATATATATTTATTTATATACGTATACAAAGATACACTTTTAAATAAGTTAAGAACAACGTATGAACCCTAGTTCATCGATTTCTTTGTCATTGGAGCGTCCAACCATATTTTTTTAAGTTGTCGGTTCACTGTTTACCAACGTTCTGGCGTTTGCGAATAAACCTAACCCCACTTATGCTATTGTATACATTGTCTTCATCATTGTATACATTTTATTCATTGTATACGCAATGTATACATTGTATTAATTGTATACGCAATGTATACATTGTATTTATTGTATACGCATTGTATATGTTACCGGTAATCTGTATAATTGAGGTATTCTATGCAATACCTAGGTAATATATAGAATACCTGGGTTATCCAGGCAATGTATGAAATATTATGAATATTATTATCCATTTCAAACTTTATCTAGGTAATTAATACAATTCCTAGGGATTGTATAGAGTACCTGCTGTTCCACCGGCAATGTGTAAAATAAATAGATTTTGGTCTAAATTTAACAATGTTAACCGGCATACCTAGAAAATGACGGGCAAATGAAACAAGTCATATTATTAAAATTAACACGTAAAGTGCTCCTTAAAAATAAGCTTCATGAAAAGGGTACAAAAAAGCACCTTTCTGTTACTACAGTACAGATAACAGTAAAATTAAAGTGGAACTAAAAATTATTCTGGCTATATAAGTATCATAATAATTTTCTTTGCTTACAAGTACGTACGTATTACGTATAAAAAACTTAAGAAACAAAACAATTCTGTAAAAATATAGGCAGTGTAGGACTAATGCTTAGTGAAAATTTTATTAGAATAAAAAAAAATATTCTTACATGTACTTAAGAAACAAAACAATCCTCTGAAAATAAGTAGGTTTACTGCATAGTTAAAATTTTAATTAAGTAGATACGTGAAAAAAATATTTATTTTCACATGACGAACTATTGTGACAGTTTGAAGTGCAAAAAATCTTCCTTGTTCTCGTCTTTTACATACATTACCGGCTGCGCATTCGGTATTGTATAGAATACCTAGACAAAGTATAAAACAAATAATATTTCTTGCATTATCTACACGTTTTAGGTATTCTATACAGTACCTACGTAGTGTATACAATACCGTATTATACAGAATGCCGGTAACATATCTATCGAGACGTAGACAATTAATGTTTACGCGTAAACGCCCGTCACTAGCCGTAGCCCATGGAACAGCTATTTCTAATTAAGAAATAGAAATTATTGGCTTTAATAATAAAAAACGTGAAGACAACACCAGAAGATAAACCACAACAGTATCGAGTTCTTTAGGGTATACAGTTTTTTAATTCACTTAAGACATCGTATTTTTCCCTGCTACTCTTTGCTTCCCTTCTTTCTACCCATCTTCAGCATTGTTCTACATCACCCGACAACTAAACTAGCACTATAGTTTCAGTGACCGCTATTGCGAATGGGGATGACTCCTTGGAAATGTCAGCCTTTGATGAAGCAAAATCTCAAACATCACAGGCTTGACATAGACTACTATTAGTACCAGTACAGCCACGGTCCTGCGGGCCGCTCAAATAACAAACGACGAGACGAGATCAGTTGACTGGTTAGTAGGACTGGTACCAAATGAAATCGCTTCGTGAAAGAAAATCGAATGACCCACTAACCGTGCTCTCAATCACAGGCTGTAGCAATGACCAACAACAGTTAGGTGACTCATTTCTCTGTCTATTTAAGTATTTATTTATCTAAAATCTTGCCCTTTTTTGGTTCATTGAAATACATTGTTGGAATAAAAATATATTCGATGCATGGCAAATACAAAAGTACAAATAACTTAAAAAAAGATCATGGATCTATAACGTAGTTTGGATGGACGACTAACAGCGGATCTTCCTCTACAACCTCGTGACCTTTCAGTCCCGATCTGGTCAACTCAATGATAACCTCGTCCTGAAAAAGGGAAGTGAAAATGTTTAGCTGAATTCTAGAACTAAATGGTTTACATATCTGAGAGGTCAGACTGAGTAGATTTTCTGATTGCTAATTACAAATATGCAATCAGAATTAATATATTTTCAAAACTGCTAAACCGGTATACAAGAAACAGTAACCGTAACAATACAAGATCGTGTTAGCATAGCCAAAATCACCACTTGAATTTTTGCCTCGTGTTTTTGAAACACTCTACTGAGGAATCTGTCATTTTTACAATATTAATTAAAATCAAAAATGGTTACACGGGTGTTACTTTGGACAAATAATTTTAATAAAATATTTTTTGGAACAGAGGCGCGTGAAATTTCAGCTTGACACTATCAATGGCAATGGAGAGTATCTAAAATGGCATTATACCCTCGACCTAAGATGTACATATTGTGAAACTCTCATTTATGTTTTATCTGTGGCAGCTGTGGCCGCAGTAGTAGACTCTTCGGTCTCCTGATCAGTCGCCGTGCGCTGTGCGGGTTCGAGTCCCGTCCCAGGAGAAATTTTTCTCTTGGCTATGGCTGTTGTGATTGTCCGTAGGTGGTAGATGGTCTCTGACTGTCGAACGCGAAGGTACCACCCGGCGGATCTCGTAGGCGGAGCCAGAATGTGTGCATGTTGCATGCACACGTGTTCCCTCGCCAGAGTCCGTGTGGCGTTCCCCCTTTCCCATGTATCCCCCTATAGCCCCACGGTACCCAATGAGTGCTTAGGCCTTAGGCCTTCGTGGTAGTCCGAGTATAAAAAAAATCAATAATCCGTGAAAGAATCATTACCAGTAAGCAGATAACTAACATTAACTGTTAAAGAAGCCTTTATATTTTATCTAATAATCCGTGAAATAATCTTACTACCTTTAAGCATATAACTAATGTTAACTCTTAAAGAAGCATTTGGAGATGTATTTTTCAGATCGCGATTTATTAAATACACTATACTTTAATAAAAAACACAGATTTTACACTGGAAGCATAACACAACGGAGATATGAGGCATATACAATCAAACCGCGTTAACTCCACTTTTTACTAAATATGATATTTTCTGCCGCTAAAACAAGTCTATAATTAAGCCGAAAGCTCACGTTTAGTTTCAAAACCCGCTAACTCCATGCCAGTATTAAATCAAAGCCCACCAAATTCATTTTGACCAATGACGATGCATTATTCGATATGGACACGGGTTTATGAGTGTCAATAGTTCATGTTTAGACATTAATTTAACAAGTAGGATCATAATTATTGCTTTCGGTGGTTTTTATGAGTGTTTTAAAGAAAACATGGGCGAATACAATAAAGCCCTACAAAAAAGCCCGAAGGTGTTCAACAAATAAATCCGACTGGAAATCAGGAAATATAGTTTTTGTTGTTTAAAATAAACATAATTAATATCGAGAACCATTGTTTTTGTTTATATAGTTAAATAAGTTCAGAAAATGTTTAAAATAAACATGATTAACATCGAGAACAATTTTGTTTTTGTTTATATAGTTAAATAAGTTCAGAAAATGATTAAAGAAGATGTTATTTTCGTATTTCGAAGACCAAGTAACAATCAAAACTCGCTATCCATTTTTCACAACCAAAAGCCGCTAACTCAAAACAAAAACCAATGTTTTTAGCAAAAAACTTGGGGAAAGTTGGATTGTTTGCCACACGTAAATAAAAAAATATTTGGTAGTGAGATATGAAAAAATAATTTAGCTAACCGTTTTTGTCGTTTCCTGGAAAATTTTACACTTTGGAGTTCTATATGCCTCATATGCACCTCAAAAAAATAAGTGCAGCACAATGTCAGTGTTCATTTGATTCAAATTACGGCTGATTTAGAGCACACCTCCGATATCAATTGTAAACAAATGGAAGCAAAATATGTACATATAAACTCACAGTATGGATTAATCTGTCCAAGACTTTTTCGAACATTTCTTTTTTCTCGATTAATTCTTCTTCCGTTTCGATTTGGTCAGCAATATGGTTGAGGTACCATTCAACCACATCGCTCCTGTGTACTCCTTCTTTACCTTCTGAAAATTGAAACAGTACCACATGAGAATTTAAATTATAAAATTCAACCTATACACTTCTTTTTTAGTATTCGCTAGGGTTATACGAGTTAGAATAATGATCAGGCCAGAAAAAACGTTTAAACGTGTAGTGATAATTTATGAATTCGCGCGTTTGTGTTTGTCAACGCCGGCAGATGACGTCTGTCGTTTCGCCGTTGAAATATGACATTTCCATTTTGCGCAATGTTACTAGGATTTCGATATCCGGTGCACATTACAAGTTAGCAAACGTTTAACTGCCTTATTGAAAAGGTATTTATTTGCTAGTATCTTGACGGTACCTACTACAAGCGGTATTGATACTCCAGCGTCATATTTCCCAAAAATATGCCAACTGATGACATGTAGTAGTAGTGGTGGTGGGGAGGCGAAGCCTGGCAACTAGGCCACCGTTGACCCTTTTGCCGACCCCGTAGTATCAACACTGTACTTCTCCACAAGCCATCTACTGGTAACTGATATAATAAACCAACTCCAGCGATGAGATATACCTGTTAATATTGCACCACGTGCGTGACAACGCAACATCCATGGCATGGAATTAACTTTCGAGGCGGAGATTCCAACCCGCTGCTCCCGGGTTGCTAGCTCGACGCGCTGACCACCGAGCTAACAAGGTTCCCTGCCAATTGATGACATACAAAGCAGAAACTGATATAGTGAATATGTGTAGATTCGTATAGCTACTTGAAGTGATCTTGAAATTAATTTGCGTGAAAAGTTCCTGGAATATTTTTTTTTAAGAGACTCATCAATCTCAAGGGCTTCCAGGACCCCAATTTTAAGGCGCCAAGTACCCTCATGCATTGCCTAAATAAAATATCCGTAGTTTCCCCATAAACTATTTATGCTAAATGACAGAAAATGCAACACCGACTAGGAGTGCTGTAATTTTCAGCATACATCTCAGATCACTATCCAAAATCAAGCCTAAATTCCTAGCGGATGTATGAGGAATAACATTATTATTATATGAAATATGGAATGAATCTGCCACGCTCTTTTTGTGTTTCCCGAACAATAAAACATTTGACTTGGTTGGATTTACATTTTGGGTCGCTGAAACCGAATCGATGGCCTATCCCGTCCGAAAATGACTCGTTTCGAATTCAAGAATTCAACTTTGTCAAAAAACGACTAATACAAAATTTCTAAAAACTCTTTCGCGTCTATGATCGAGATAGAAGTTAGTTTTCTGAGTAAATCGGGTGAGTAGATTGCAAATTCGATGTCGATACGTTGCTAGAAATTACGGCTATTCCGGAAAAATAGTTTCTTGTCAACTTTTCACCCTAAATCCAGTCTGATAGCACTTTAGACTTTTTTCACTGTCATATTCATATTCAGCACGCCAAATTACTTCATTGTGCAAAGTTTTGCTCTCATGTAGCCATCGATAGTGAAAATGGATTTTTAGCACCTTAAAGTCGCAAAAAACACACAGTTTTGCAATTTTTCGCTAAATAATTAGATCTACATGATAAACGGGATCACATACATGTAAAACGACCTCGAATTTGGTATTGGGTTATTATTACTAAAAAGGCACAAAATGGGTCAGTCGGGAACGTGAACGCAACATGTCTTGTAATACGCTTTTTGAGTCGCTGAAACCGAATCCATGGCCCATTCCTTCCGAAAAAGCCTCGTTTTCAAGATACTGGCAAATATTCAACTTTGTCAAAAAACGACTAATAAAAAATTTCTAAAGACTCTTGCGCGTCTATGATCGAGATGGAAGTTTGTTTTCTGGGTAAACCGGGTGCGTAGATTCCAAATTCGATGTCGATACATTGCTGGAATTCACGGCTATCCCGGAAAAATAGTTTCTTGTCAACTTTTCACCCTAAATCCAGTCTGATATCACTTTAGACTTTTTTCACTGTGATATTCATATTCAGCGCCCCAAATTACCTCATTGTTGCGGTATGAGTCTTGGCGTTATTCTGCAAGAATATCGCTTTCTTCCGATTAATCAAAGAAGGCTGTTAATGGATGAGTGCTGCTTGTGCTCGTTGAAGCTGCTCACAATACAAGTTAGCAGAGATGGTTTGACCCCTTTTCAAAAACTCATAATGAACAATTCTAGTCGCTTTCCACCAAACTCACAACAAAATCTTGTGTGGGACCCATTTGCTTAACTTCCACGTCTTTCCTAGCTGATGAAGATGTAAACGAATAGTTTCAGGACTCTCTCTGAATATTTCTGCAAGTTCTTGGCACGTTGTCCTATAATTTGCGTCCACAACCATGGCAATGTGCGATATACAGCAACCGCACGAACTTATTTGGTTACCTGATATTATGTTTTAATCCACATGTGTATACTTTACGTAACTTTATATAGGTATATACTCACTTAACACACGCATTTATTTTTTTCAGTAAAAGCATATGAGTCTAAATATTTATTTCCGTTTTATCCGAAATTTCGATAATCCGAAAGCACTTGGGTCCACATTATTTCAGATAATCGAGGTTCTACTGTACTTTTTCGAGTTTTAGGTCTACTGATAAATAGAATGTTAATGTTAATAATGTGTTGAAGCTCCCGTGTTCGCTACACATTCGTTAAGTCCTCGCGGCATTGATTGGATTAGGTGACTGAGGTCTTCTTGGTGTAGTATATCCCAGGCTACCTGAATTTGGTTTCATAGAGCCTCCAATGTTTGCGGATGGTGCGGTGAATTTTGCAACCTTCTTCCCATCATGTCTTAAATATGTTCGATGGGGGAAAGGTCTGGAGATCGAGGAGGCCACTGGAGCAGATTTACTCCGGTCGCTTCTAAAAAGTCTAAACTAACACGTGCGACATGAGGTCGTACACTGTCCTGCTGAAAAAGTGGATCTTGCAATGTTTGGAAAGAGGAAAGGAGATGTGGTTGTAAAACTTCGTGAATATAGCGCTGCGCAGTCATGCTAGCTCGAATGAACACTAATGGTTATCTGCTGTCGTAAGCAATGGCACCCCATACCATAACACCCACAGTGCGATGAATATGCCGTTCGACGAAATATTGGATGTTACGTCATTCACCACGTCTCCTCCTTACATCATGTGTGCTCAAACGGAATCTGGACTCATCGCCGAGTTCCATTTCATATTCCATTCAAGTCTCTCCCTACTCAATACCAATCGTTGCCGACGATGTTGTGGGGTCAGAGGTAGTACAAGATGGGGAAGATATGAAAACAGTCCAAAAGACATTATTCGGCAATAAACTGTTGCGCTTGTTATAGCGCTTCCGACTGCATCAAACCGCTTGTTCGCAACTGCCCTTGTTGTGGATAATCGATCTCTAAGGCCCGTATCGTCAGTCGTCCCTACAATTGTAGGGCGCGTTTATGGCCTCCTTGATTTCGATAATATTACGTCTTCTTCGGTGAGGTACATGTATGTCCTGCTTTACGTTTCTGGCCTGCTGTCAATCAGAAGTCAATTGTGATGTTAGGATATGTTTCTTTTTTGAGGTTTAAAAATTTCAGACTGATGAATCAAAAAATCAAATGCCGAAGGATATTTTCTTGCAAATAGTGTTGATCATTCAATAATCATTTCCTACATTGATTTTGCTTCATACTGCAACTCTATTCTTCTGTTTACTCTCTGTAACACTTCATTTTTGGTAATCCTACATGACCATGGCATTTTGAGCACCCTGAAATAGCGATGGTCAATAATAGTAATAATTATGATCTTCACAGACACACATTATACATACTTGTGCCTGACAATCTCTACACAATCTAGAGTGCCACAATGATTTGTGAAAAAGCATCTCTGTCATCGACAATGCAATAATTGCACTTGCCATACAATGTTTCTTATCCATGGAGCCATCTCATAAAGTCTGTGAATAAATCACACCTGAAAATAATGCGATAAGTATATAATATGGATATGCAATGATTTGTTTTGTAACTTACCAACCTTCATCAAGAGAATAGCTTGGTTGTAAGCTACTGGACTTTCATACACACAAATATAATATTATGATATCCATGTGCATTAATTTTCCTAACTCAACAATTTCTTGAAGATACCACAGGTTGTGGAATTTGCTCAATGTAGCGAGGTATTTTTGAGTGATCGAGATTATTTGCAAGAAAATTATTAATTATGGTTCTGCTTTCCGTTGAACGTCAAAACAACAACATAACCTCAAGCCAGAACTGTCAGTATGTCGGAAATCAAAAGCAGGACATACATGTACGTTAACGAAGAAGACGTAATATTACCGAAATCAAGGAGGCCATAAACGCGCCCTACAATTGTAGGGACGACTGACGATAGAGGCCTAAGTGCTAGTTGCCTCAAATAACGATCCTGTACCTCTGTAGACTGTCTTTGACGTCCAGTACCTCTAACACGTCGAAATCCGGCTCTAAAATTCGGAAAGTTGAATGAAATTAGCGCGTCTGCGAACTCTAGGCATGATAATACAATGAAATAAATAGAACCAACACAGAAAAATTACATATTGGTCGGATCCTGATATGACAAAAAAATCTTTACAAAAAAAGTAAGGCGCATACTCATTTGGACACATAGAAATCGTGCCAAGTACTGAAGAGCTTGTACCTTGTGAATTAAAGTCTAACCTGTTTCAAGCCTTGTTTCTTCTCTTCTCATGTGAATGATGATCATGTTGCTGATCTGTTTGTATTCCTCGAAACTGAGTACCATTTTCTTCTTTTGTACTTGAGGTTGTAATTGTTCGGAATCTTGTTGCATGGGCTCATCAGGGGTTGATGTGGTATCTTGGGTCATCTGCGGAAAATTGAGAGTCCTATTTTTACAGAAAATGTACTAGAGAAAATGAGGTATTTTCCATCTAGATAAACTTGTATTTTCAAATTCTGCAATGGATTATTCAGATCGAATAGTGCAGTTTATCTTTTTTTTTCTGCCTAGTGTATTGGAAACACGTATTTGAAATGCATACATTTAAATTAATTGTATCGCCCGCTGGCTCAGGGTACCACCAGGAGCCACATCCGTCACTGTGACTGTAACACATTCAAATGATAATTAGGTCACGCAACGGGTGTTTGGTGCACTTTGGGGTAGTTCTTCTGGGTGCGATTTCCGTCACTGTGACTGTAAAACATTCAAACGATAACTAGGTCACGCAACGGGTGTTTGGTGCACTTTGGGGTAGTTTTTCTGGAGTAAGTTTATTTTGATCATACTATATATATATATATATCATATATATATCATACTATACTAGTATAATTAATAGTGTCCGACCGAAATTTCGGTTTCGGCCAGTTTCGGTCCAAAATCCGAGCTTTGGTTTAGTTTCGGTTTCGGCAGAAAATCCACCGCCGAAACCAAAATTAAGTTCATAAAGAATCAGGACCTATAAGCGGGGTTTTTGGTCCTGAAAATAACTCAAATTCCAAGATGACCTTTTCATTTCACTATTTGGTTGTTTTTTAAAAGCTCATTGTTAGCTATTTTAGCATTTTTGTTCAAACTTCACCTGTGTTCGAAACACTAAAATACAAAACAAACATAAAAATAAAGATGGTTCTTCACTGCGCTCACATGAAACACAAAAGCTAAAGTTTCAACGTGGACTACTTGCTACATCTTTTGTTTTTAATGTGAGTGCAGTGGAGTAACTCATTTATTTTTATTATGTTTTTTATTAGTATGTTTCATTATGGATTTGAAGTAGACAGTCTTGCGACTATGCGGTCATGTAACAATACAGTTTAATATTGAAAAATAGGCAAATTTTCAATAAAAAAGCGAAAACTGCGATCTCTGGGCTTTTAAAAAACAATCACGTACCAAAATAAAAAGAAAAACATGAAAATAAGCATGTTCTAGAATATTTAAATGCAAAAATTTCATAGATGCGGTCAACTTGAAACTGCAGTTATTTTCAGGGCCTTTGGAGGACAAGTTTTGTTACTTCTCGTTCTTAGACAAAACTGTGAAGACGCTTAAAATATATTTTAGGAGGCAAAATAATATTTCGTCTAAAACAAAACTTTTGAAAAATACCCCACAAAACAAAGAAACTTACCATGTCACGCCAAGGGTTACTACCTCGCAGCTGTGGCGCGAAGTTTGGCTTTAATTTTGGAGTGCAATTGTTTCCCTTTGTACTTTATAGAACAAAAATGAAGATACTTTTGCAATTGGTAAACTTTTTGTAAGCAAAATATAAGCTTTCCTTTTAATGCTATTAGATAACACAGCCCAACAAAATGAAAAAAAAAAAGATGCCGAAGAAGTATATATATTTCTCCGCATGATCCTTTTCTCTCTCTCTCTCTATATATATATATATATAGATATAATAAAACATGGTATTTTCGACAGCAGAAGACAATATGAAAAACGAAAATTTTAATACTGGCCCTAAATATCATTCAAACGTTCATTAACAAAATACCAAAGGGTAATGTAATTGTAAGCCTTTGAATTTTAATTGCCCATGTTAATGATGTTTATTGTATGAGCTTACATCTTGAAGTAGGAGGCGTGTACTTTGAGATGTAAGCTCGTTCACCATTCAATAAACAGCGTTGAAATCATAAGTCAATTAAGGAATCATTCAAGTATCACGTGAGCACTACAGGGAGGCGGGGTCTTTGCTTTGCTTATTTTTAATGACGTGAGGGGTCTAGATGGTGATTACGTCAGCAATATTTATTTTTTACTTTTTCAGATTTCCTCGATTTTGATTTGAATACATATGGTAACTCTGCTGGTCTATGCTCGAAAGCACAACACATCTTCCGGGAATCCCCAAATATAATAATAATAAAGTGTCTTTATTGGCAGCCTTCCATATTATGGCGAAGTTCAGCTTGATTGCTACTCTTCCACTTAACCATAATATGGACAAAACATCAAAAATGTATACAAGGAACATAATACATAGAATATAAACAATTACAGAACAATGACGAGATTATACCCTTTGCTAGTATTATTAACAACATCCATTAACATATGGATATGCTTATTCGCTTAGAACCTCAGCTCTAAATACTCCTGGTAGAAATGCGTATAACCGAGTAGAACGCAGAATGGCTTTTCGGGAACTGGTTTGCTTGATATTGACTCAGGACCATTTTGAATGGGAGTAGCGCTACAATCACAACATTTGGAAAAATCCAATTCCGAGTTGGCCGGAGCAGTCTTGCTTACTTTGGCTGATTAAAAATAGTAAAAAATCATGTTACATAAAACTTGAACGGCCCCTTAGCAATTGAAAAAGGAAGGATATTTACATATGTACTTTGGCAACATCAACATTTCCTTTTTTTTATATTGTCTATCGAGGTCGAAAATGGCATACTTTGCATCAATTTCAGTTCTTACTTCTCCGGCACCAAATTATCTATTGGGCAGTGAATCAAAGATGTTGGTTTGAGCTCCAAAAACAGCAAATGATTCTTAAACTTTGATCTTCAAGTATGATCGCTGATAAATAAATATTCCAACCTGTTCGTTTCCATCATCGTCTGCGAGCTGAATATCCGGCTGTTCGACCCTGATGATGGACTTGTTCAACAACCGATATGCTTCACGAACATGTTTCGGCTGTACCTCGTCTGAAATGTCCATCCTTGCCATTGCTTCAGAGAGCCGGATCATGCTTTCCAGTTGTCTGCAAACAAAATTATTTTGCGTGGAATCACCTCAAAAATTGTGCCAAAAGAAAAAAAAAACTCTGTAAATCTAGATTTCAGTATCGTCAATATAACTTTCATGGGGTTGGAAAGTTGTTAGAAAACCTGGATTTTAAGTCCCACAATATGACAAAAATGATTTTTTTGCAAATTAGACGCCTTTTCATACCATACTCTAGGGTGTCCCAAAAAAAGAAAGTTCTTTTTTTCAAACGCATACCCTCAAATTTTGCTTGAACAATGTCAAAACAATTATAACTAAAGTTTTATGTACCTAGAACCACGGCAATCCGTGCTGAGTTGCATTGGAACATGTTACAAAACTTGCACATTAGGCGCGCGCTAGTTAACGTATTGCAGTGCTCGTTTGTTCTATTAGTAAACGCACTGTTTTCCTTCAGGTCAACACATCGGAGGAATTGTGCAGCTCTAAAAAGGGGATATTTTCAACAGGGGATGTTAAGCATCAAATTACCGGTTCAAAACTTTCATCTAATGGCAAGTACTACCAGTTTTGTTTTGTTTCCGGAGAGTGAAACTAACCAAGTTTGGAAAGATTTGTTACGAACTTGGACAATCTGTTTGATATTGCGCATGTTGATGCCCTTCAATTGATGCAAATAACTGAAGATAGGATCTTCTTGTAGCCGCAGAGAAAGCCAATTCGACCTGGTCATTTAGCTGGGGTGGAGAAGAAATTAGCCATAAAAGAAGAAAATTCGCATCTTAGGAACACCGGTGAACTAAATATACTAAGTGACATATAAATCCGAACACCCAGTTTAAATGGTTTTATTTTAATAACAGTTGGTGAATGTATTTATCTTACTGTAAATAACAAGTGAAAAAATTTTTTATCAGTTGGACATTCCGGTTTTTATACTGCTTTTTTTTAATTCACTAACGCTCTAAAAATGAATATTTCAGCCGCAGTAAAGAATCAACGTTGGCGGATTTTGGTTCTTGACATCCTTTACGATCGGTTACGATGCCTAGAGTACGGAGACCTGTACGATTTCGTCAACTTAGTGAGTTTGATAGGGGCCGTATAGTGGGACTTCGGGAAGCTGGACTTCCTTTTCGGGCAATTGCAGTTAGAGTGCAAAGAAGTGTAGACACTGTGGTTAGGTGTTGTCAGGCATGGCTTCGAGAAGGCCGTACGCAAAGAGCAAGGGGCACTGGACGCCGCCGTAGAACAACAGACCGTGAAGATCGCCGCCTAAGATTATTGGCCTTAAGGGACCGTTTCTCCACTACCAGGTCCATTGCAAATGAATGGTTTGCAGAACACGGAAGACCTATTGGCATGCGAAGTGTATACCGACGAATGAGAAGTTTTGGCTTGTTTTCATACCGGCCACACTGGGTCCTCCCTTTAACTCGAGAACACCGACGTAATCGTCTTGAGTGGTGCAGACACTCTAGGATCAGGAATGGACCAGTATTGTCTTTAGTGACGAGTCTCGATTTTGTTTAGGCATGCACGATGGTCGTGCCAGGGTTAGAAGGCGACGTGGTGAAAGGAGGAATCCACAGTTTTTTGTTGAAAGACATGTCCATCACACTGTTGGAGTTATGGTTTGGGGTGCTATAGCTTATGCTTCCAGGTCACCTTTAATCTTCATCAGAGGTAACATGAACGCGCAGCGTTATATCCACGAAGTTCTAGAACCCCATCTTTTACCCTATCTTGACACCCTGGCAGATCCAACTTTCCAACAAGATAATGCCCGACCACATGTTGCAAGAGTCACAATAGACTTCTTTCAACATAATGATTTCACATTGTTACCGTGGCCACTAAGATCTCCCGACTTATCCCCAATTGAGCACGTGTGGGATATGATGGGTAGGAGATTGCTCAATTTGCAACGTCCTCCTCAGACTCTAGAAGCACTTCGAGAGGAGTTGGTGGTTGCCTGAAATGAGATACAACAGGAGGACATTGACCACCTGATCAGAAGCATGCCTAGGCGCGTTGGAGAATGCGTAGCACATCAGGGTGCATCCACACATTATTAAAGGGCAAAGGGCTTTAAAGCAGTGCAATCATTTTGAAATTTTTATCATTTACTGATTATGCTTCATTAAGTGCTTATACAAAATTTTATTAAAATAAAACCATTTAAACTGGGTGTTCGGATTTATATGTCACTTAGTATATGTTGCTACCCTACAGAATATTCAGATAAGAGATAGACCGGATGTAAACAAAAGGTTCGGGTGATTTTCACGCTAACGCCGCCGTCTCGACGTAAAACAGGAGCCCTCATTGGTCAATTCGCAATTACATGCCTATGCCGAGCGGCAGAGCAGTCGTATCAAGGCAGAGTCACATTCAGGTTCAGACGTGTTACGTATGTCGTGTGCATCATTGCAATTTGATATTTCTTTGGACGTTCTCGTTTGTTATCTTATTAGGTTGTTGAGTTTGTCGTTGTTATTGTTATACCTTGTTATTGATTGTTATTGTTATCAACTGCTTGCGCAAAATGCCCAGTAGTACAGATACTGCCGATGAAGTTGTAAACTCCTGTAGTCCACCTAGGAAACGCTCTAAAAAAAAGACACCTGAGTGCAGAAATGAAAGAGGTCATTTTGAATATATATAAGATCGAGCGCGAGGAGAACGAGGCATCAACCATCAAAGAAATTGTTGTGAAGGTTTCTCACAAAGTTGGGGTGTGTCGCGCATCAGTGTTTAATGTGTTAAGACAATACAAAAAAAATCACACCTTTTCTGAGCCAATGACCAGTAAACATCGCAAAAGTATTGTTAAATCATTGGATGAAGCTGATAAGCATGCGATTAGGAGGAAAGTGCATGAATTCTTCTTTAGGAATGAAATACCTACTATAGATAAAGTACTGCAGGAGGTAAATGGAGATACAACGTTGCCAAATTTCAAACGATCAACTTTCCATGCGTTACTGAAGCATTTAAATTTCAAATGGAAAAAACGGGGTCGTAATAGTTTACTACTGGATAGAGAAGAAATTGTGCTATGGAGGAGGGATTATTTAACAAAAATTGGGAAATATAGAAATCAAAACAGGAAGATTTATTACCTTGATGAAACGTGGGTAAACGCAGGACACACTACAAGTAAAGTATGGGTTGATGATTCTGTAACTTCATCCAGGAGGGCCTTTCTAGATGGACTGTCCACCGGATTAAAAAATCCAGCAGGTATATACGAGTAATAGACAACAATCGGATGTTTTTCAAACCTTGGGAACAAGGTTCTAAACATTAATTCCAGGGGGCAGATAAAACATATTACAAGTAACAAAACTTTTATAACTTTCGATAAAATGCGTGGATGTTTTATTGTCATTTTCATTTGTTAGAACTTTTTTAAGCCATGTTTTTATGTGTTTTCGATATTTCAATAATTTTTTAATATAATCTTAAAATATGTCGAATATTATAAACTTAAAAAAAGTTACTAAGTTTTATATTATGTACCGTTCCTAATATTTCTAATCATTTTAATTCATACTTTAAGCTTTATAAAGTTATAATTTGTTAATATTAATATTTGCGCGTATTTCAGGTTCCTGATCATTCATTTTTTAAAGGTTTATAACTTTAAATTAAATTGTGAAGCGCTGAGTAATCATACGACGTTCAATATTCTTTCTTTCAATATGACTAAATAATCCCAATTATAGCAATCTGATACTCATGTCTCACTGTTTTTTCGCTGAATGTGATGAAAACATTTGAAAAAGGTTCGCTTATTGAAATAAATCTACACCAGTTAGTACTTCGATTTCCAGGTAAATGGAAAAGGCTCATTATCTGCCATATTGGCAGTGAGGATAGATTTGTTGTTGACGGTCTGTGGTGCTTTGAGTCTAAGAAAACTGGAGATTACCACGAGGAAATGAATGGCGAATCGTTTGAACAGTGGTTTTCAAAAATTTTACCGAAAACGCAGTAATTGTGTTGGATAATGCGCCTTATCATTCTCGAAGAATGGAGAAGGTCCCAACAACGGCTTCAAGGAAAGTTGATGTTTAAAATTGGCTCCGCTCGAAAAATATCAACTTTGAAGAAGCAATGCTGAAAGCACAATTATTAAGAATTGTCAAGGATCACAAGGCGGAATATCAAAAATACGCCATTGACGAAATGGCAGCAAGTCAAAATAAAACTGTGCTCCGTTTACCTCCATACCATTGCGAGCTCAATATCATTGAGCTCATATGGGCAGAGGTTAAAAATTATATAGCTAAGCACAATACAACTTTTAAATTTTGTGACCTCAAAGGACTTTTCAAAGAAGCACTAGAATTAATAACAGCGCAAAAATGGGAAAACTGTATTAAGCACGTAAAAGACAAAGTTGAAAAGAGAATGTGGGAACTGGACACTATTTTAGAGGACCAAGTCGAGCCATTCATTATTGACGTTGGTGCTTCAGGCAGCAGCGATGATGAAAGCTCATCAAGCTCATATTTCCAATAAAAGATGTCGTTCATCAAGTATAAGAAATTATAAAGCTACTGTATTTTTTAATTAATTATTGACATTTTTGAACCCATTTTGGCAAAACCTATTCAAGAATCTACTTTCTGACAATGTTCAACCATGCACATTTTTTTACGTTTTGAACGTTTTAATTTGGTTACATATTTACCTAGAAATCAAAAAATATACTAATCAATATTCTAAAAGCAATTTTAAGAGATATACGATTATTTTTAATTTAGGCTAATTTAAACGCCATTTTGAGATTATATTCGACTGTATTTCACCAAACATCAGGCGGCATCCGAAGCTGGAAATCGAAGCGAAAATTTTGAAATCCTTATGTATATTTACATCATTATATATTTCTTACCCCACCCCCACATGATCCTATATCCATCACCAATCGTATACACATCGAATTGTGCTAATTTACTACAAAGTTACGCAAAGCAGCATCTACTATCTAAAATATGTACTGCGTGACTCTTAATACGTCCC